TGGGCCACCAGTAGCGGAGCGCACGCACTTAACTGCTAAGCCATGGGGCTGGCCCTCTAATTTCATTTTTGATTGTTCATTGCTAGTGTATAAAAATACCATTCAAATGTTATATTGATCTTGTTTCTGCAAACTTGCTAACTTTGTTTATTCATTCTAATAGTTATTTTAGTAGATTCCTTAGGATATTCTACATGGGGGAACATGTCATCTGCAAATAGAGGTAATTTTACTTCTTCCTTTGAAACCAATCTGGATGCCTTTTATTTCTTTTTCTTGCCTGCTAGCCCTGGCTAGACCCTCCAGAACAATGTTAAATAGAAGTGAAGAGAATGGATATCCTTGTCTTATTTCTCCTCTTAGGAAGAAAGCATTCAGTCTTTTCCCATTAAATATGATGTTAGTTGTGGGTTTTTCATAAATGCCCTTTATCAGTTTGAGGAAGTTCCCTTCCATTCCTACTTTGCTGAGTGTTGTTATCATGAAAGGGTGTTAGATTTTGTCAAAGGCTTTTTCTGCATCTATTGAGATGATCAGATTGCTTGTATCCTTGGTTCTATTCTAGTTTGGATGTTAAAATAACCTTATTCCTAGGATAAATCCCACTTGATCACAGTGTATAGTCATTTTCATATGTTGATGGATTTGGTTTGCTAGTACTTTGTTAAAGAGTTTTGCCTATGTTCATAAAAAATGTTGGTCTGTAGTTTTCTTTTCTTGTGATGTCCTTGTCTGATTTAATATCGGGGTAATACTAGCCTTATAGAAGGAGTTGGGAAGTGTTCCCTCCTCCTCTGTTTTTTGGAAGAGTTTATGAAGAGTTAGTATTAATTATTCTTTAAATATTTGGTAGAATTCACCAATGAAGCCATCTGGGCTTTTCTTTTTGAGAAGTTTCTTAACTACTAACTCAGTCTCTTTACTTGTAATAAGTCTGTTCAGATTTTCTATATCTTTTTGAGTCGTTTTCAGTAGTTTGTGTCTTTTCTAGGAATTTGGCCATTTATCTAAGTTATCTAATTGGTTGGCATACACTTGTTCATTGTATCCCCTTATAATTCTTTTTATGCTGTAAAGTCAGTCGTGATGTCCCCTCTTTCATTCCTGATTTTAGTAATTTGAGTCTTCTCTCT